TGTGTTTGAAGGTAGGAAAAAAGAGATTGTGGTCTAAATACCATTTCCCATCATCCTACCCCCCCCCCCCAAAAAAAAACAGACCTCCTTGGTGAAACAGCTGAATGGAGGTCTAGGGTAGGAATTACGTTAAGATGAGCCTAGAATATTCTAACTCTACAGTAAAAGCAAAAGAGTTATCAAAGACTGTGTCTTGGAAGGACACAGAAAAACAGACCTCCTTGGTGAAACAGCTGAATGGAGGTCTAGGGTAGGAATTACGTAAGATGAGCCTAGAATATTCTAACTCTACAGTAAAAGCAAAAGAGTTATCAAAGACTGTGTCTTGGAAGGACACAGAAAAATATAGGATGGGCTCATCCTCTCCCAATATGAGACAATTTGAGCATCCAAAAGAACAATAATTGGATGAGCAGGTGGTGTGGTGGTTAAGTCACTGGATTCCAATATAGCCAACTGTGGTTCGAGTCCTGGATCTGGCAGCTTGCTTGCTCGTCCCTCCACCCCTCATGGTGAGCACATGTGCCCTATAGCCAAGTTAAAAAATAATAATATGAGGCCAGCAGGTGACACAGTGGTTAACATGCTTAACTCCCACATGGTCACCCAGGGTTCAAGTCCTCTACTCTTGAAATGCCAGGCATGTGTGAGGGCATGCCTAAAAGGAAATGTGGAGGAGAAGGGGTTGTGTTGTGGTCACTCCTCTGGAGTGTTCTCACTTTCTCTCCATCTCTCTCTCCAGTGAATGCATGTACCCTATAGCAAAAAATCTCTCCCCCTCCCCAGCCAAAAAAATAAATTAAATAAATAAATGTTTTTTAAAAAAGAACAATAGCTGCATTGGATTCAAACACATCAAATACAATAAAATATTATTTGTTCATAATGAATCTTCAAAAAAGTTACTGATTTTCTTTATAGGATGCTGTAGCCAACTCAGTATTATGGCAAAATTGATAAAGGTAAAAAATATTTTTAAAAAATTGGCTCAAGAAGAGAAGTCATGTGATCACCAGGATAAATGCAGTAAGGACATTTGATAAAATTCTATTCAATACAGGTAAAACCACTCAATAAAGAACAGGAGGACATTTTGTTAACATGATAAATTATATCTATTGAAACCAAGAGTAAACACCATACTAAAGATCATAAGGTCAAGACCTATAAAATACACATTATGTTTTGTCATTCAACATTATTCCAAAGATTCTAGATAATACAACAGGCAATAAAAAAAATAGTTTAAATCTTTATAAATGGCAATGCATTTTTCCTCCATTCCTCCTTCCCATCAGGATTTTGGCACATGAGCCCATAAACCTATTGTGTTTTTCAAGCTACCAGGGATGGGGTTGGAACTGTGATCAGTCATATGGATCTGGCTGCTTTAATCATCATGCAATGGGACTGGCACTGAAAGTATAGATGCCTGCCCAAGATTTCAGGAAAACAAGGGATTGCATATGGCCATCCTCCACCCCACCCCCCACGATCCTGGGGTGTGCATGATTTCTCACTTTCCTTCTCACTGTTTCTCCAGCAAGCTCATACGTCCTAGGGTAAAAACCTCTATCAAAACAACAAACAAAAAACTATAGACATCAGGACCAGCAGTTAGCATAAATGGCTATGTCACTGGGCTCCCATGTAGACAACCATGGTTCAAGTCCTAGACCTGGTGGCTTAAACTCATGCCAGGCGTGTGTGCGTGTGTACCTAAGAGCCCAAGAGGAAAATGGAGAAGAGATTGTGGCATGGTCATCCTCCCGGAGGTGGGGGTGGGTCGGGGGGAGCGGCGGTTTTTTCTCGCTTTCTGTCTCTCTGTCTCTCTGTCTTTCTGGCGAGCACACACAACCTATAGCCAAAACCTCTCCGAAAAAAAAAGAAAGAAAGAAAAATAAAACTACAGACATCAAAATGACAACACTAGACCAACCCCACAGCTTAAGAGTTAAAGGAACTAGATCCCAAATGGCCAACTGAGCAATTCTCATTCCAGACCCAGCAGCTTGAAAAATATGCCAGACACACATGCATGCATGTCCCAAATCCCAATAGGATAGGAAGATGAAGGAGAAGAGATTGTAGCACAATCATGCCCTATGGGGGTGCTCTCTCTGTCTTCCCCTCTCTGTCAAGTGCACATGACCTCTGGCAAATTAAAACAAACAAAAAAAACAGAAAACAGTAATACTAAGAAAAACCCAAAATACATTTTAGTAACTTAGATAGACCAATTACTTAAAAAAACACAAGATACCAAAATTCACTCAGTGTAAAACAGATCATTTGAACCCTTCAAACTACTAAAGAAAATTTAAATATTTTTGTTTTTGTTTTTGCTATAGGCTGCAAGCACTTGACAGAGAAAGTGAGAAACCACCTTCCTGCCCCCAAGGAGATGGCCCTACCACAATCTCTTCTCTTCCATTCTCCACTTGTGATTCTGGGTACGCATGTGAACACTTCCAGTGGGCTTTTCAAACCGTCAGATCTGGGACTCAAACTGCAGTCAGTCACGTGGGATCCAGTCAATTTAACCTCCATGCCACCACCTGGCTCTATGAAATTTCACTTTTTTTTTTTTTTTTAAGAATCGTTTATTTCATTTCATTTCATTCATTCATTCATTCATTCAATCATTCATTTATTTATTTTCACAACAGAGAAGAAGAGAAAATGAGAAAGTAAGCCACCAGGTCTAGGACTCGACTGTGGTCAGTCATGTGGGAGACTAACACTATAACCACCACGCCAGCTACTGTCCACCCAATTTTTAAAAAAATATTTTAGAAGAATTATTTTTATTTAACTCCATTTATTTATTTTAATTTGACCAGAGAGAGAGAAAGTGAGAAAGGAAGCCGCCAGTTCCAAGACTTGAACCGTGGTTGACCATGTGGGACTCTTAACCACCACACCACCTGCCACTCCGCCCCTATTTTTTAAAAAAAGAATCATTTATTTTATTTTATTTACTCATTCACTTATTTTTTCATTTAACCAGAGAGAAAGAGAGACAGAAAGTGAGAAAGCAAGCAACCAGGTCCAAGACTCAAACCGTGATTGGCTATGTGGGAGTGTCCAGCACCTTAATCACCACACCACCTGCGGGTCCCTGTCTCCAAAATTTTAAATCTTAATATTAAAATTCTCAGAAATCCTGGACCCAGATGACTTCACTGGAGAATTTCACCAAACATTCAGAGAATTAACACCAATTCTATATTTCTTCCAGAAAACAAATGAGAGAACATGTACAAATTCACTGATGAACCTTGTGTTACTGTGATAACAAAACAAGACAGACAGCACAAAAAAATAAAGTTGCAATATCCCTCATGAAAAAAGATGTGAAAATCCTTAATAAAATATTAGTAAATAAAATTGAACAAGAAATAAAAAGTATATATAATAATCAAGTAGAGTTTATCTCAGGGATGCAAGGCTGACTTGATGCTTTAAATTAATGCAGCAAACCATATTAACAACTAAAAAAGAAAAATTACATGACCAATCAATGCAAAAACACAATTTGAGAAATTTAACATCCATTCTTGATTTAAAAAAAAAAAATAACCCTCAGAAAAACATGCAGCGAGGAGGTGGTACAGTACTAGCATAATTGGACTCACATGGAAAAAGGTCCTGGATTTGCCACCAGGGACCTCCCTAAGCAACAAGGTGTGCTCACATATCCATGATCCAGGCCAGCTGGGACTCAGAGTGGACTGAAGCATGAAGACTCTACAGGATAACTACTGTTACCAGTCATTTAATATAGTGCTAAAAGCTCTAGCTAGCAGGATAAGACAAGAAAAGGAAGTAAAAGGCATTATAATGTGTTGAAAAAAATAATAAAACTGTTTGCAGATGGCATTGCTGTCTACAAAGAAAACCCCAACAAATTTATAAAATAGGTAAGTTCATCAAGGCTGCAGAATATACAACCAATACACGAAAACCAATCATATCATAACTGTATATACTATCAATAACAATAAACGTGAAAATCAGTGTAAAACACACTTATAATCATTCTGAAGAAAATAATAATGCATAAATCTATCAGACATATACAACAGGACTTGTATGTCAAAACTACAAAACATACATGAAAGATATCTAAGAAGACTAAATAAATGGATTCTTCATGGACTAAAGACTCAACATAGTAAAGATGACAATTTTCCCAAAACTGGCATAGAGGTTTAACACAATTCCTATCCAAATCCTAAGAAGACTTTTTACAGCTATAGATAGTATTATTCTAGAATTTATATAGAAAGGCAAGGAAACTAGGAAAGTTACGATAATTTTTAAAAAGGAGATGAAATGCTCTACCCATTTCACTATATGGCATTAGTGGAAGGTTACAGAACAAGAGAACTCAAAAATAGACCTACACAAATATGCCAATATGGTTTTTGATAAAGATATAAAAGTAACCCGAAAGGAAAGAAAATCTTTTAACAATTGGTGCTGGAAGAATTAGGTTTCCAAAGCCAAAAAAGAACTTTCACCTAAATTTTCAAACCCTAAACAAAAATAACTCCAAATGCATCACAAACTTAAATATAAAAACAAAACTAAAATTTAAAAAAAGAAAAAGCTTCAGGATCTATGGCTATGCAAAGAGAACTTAAAAACGACACTAAAAGTAAGATCCATAAAAGGAAAAATGATAAATTTGCCTTTGACCAAAATTAAAATTTGTACTCTATTAAAGACCTCTTTAAAAGGATGAAAAGAAAATCAACGGATTTGAAGATGCTTTCAACCACATTATGGGACAAAGACTAGTATTCAGACTATATTTAGAACTCTCAAATCATAACAGGAAAAAAATCCAATCAGAAAAAGGACAGAAGACATGAAAAGACATTTCACTGATGGGAATATACACATGGCAAATAAGCACATGAAAATATGTTTAGCACCATCAGCCATAGGGAAATGCAAATTAAAACCTCACTGAAATATCACTAGATACCTACCAGAATGGCTAAAATGAAAAACAGTGATAACACCAAATGCTGGCGAGGATGCAGAGAAACTGGATCTCTCCATACATTGCTGGTAGGGATGTAAAATGGTACAGCCACTCTGGAAAACAGTTTAGCAAGTTCTTAAAAAAAAAAACTATACATACAACAACCATATGACCCAGCAAATGCATTCCTTTGTATTTATCCCAAAGAACACGCGGCCACAAAAAAACCTATGCACAAATCTTTATAGCAGAATCTTTTTTTTTTTTTTTTTTTGAGAGGTTTTTGCTATAGGGCTCATGCGCTCGCCAAAAAGACAGAGACACAGAAAGCAAGAAATCATTTCCCAAGGGAGATGGCCACACCGCAATCCCTTCTCCTCCATTCTCCTCTCAGGATATTGGGCACTTACACACACGTGCCCGACGTTGAGTTTAAGCCACCGGGTCCGGAACTCGAACCACAGTTGACTACATGGGATTCCAAGGACATAGCCATTACGCCAACTGCAGGTCCCCTTTATAGCACTTTTATTCTGATCAACCAAAAATAGAAAAATCCAAATATCCTTTAATAAGTGAATGGTTAAACAAACTATAGTAAATCCTTATCAGAATACTACTGAGGGATGAAAATGAGCAAACTATATAGACACCGTGGCTGAATTTTCAGAGAGTTATGCTGGACGAAAAAGGTCAAATCCAAAAAGTTACATAGTGCGTGATTCAATTTATTTAACATTCTTGAAAAGATAAAAACCATAAAAATAAAGATTACTGAATCCCAGAGATTGAGACTTCAAGTGGGGAAGGGGCACGCATAGGAAGGTAGATGAGAGGGAAGTGGGTATGGTTACAAAATGACAATATGAGGGATGCTGTAGTGATAAAATGATCTCCCCCCCCCATATATGTATGTATAATTTTTTTTTTTTTTTTGGTATTAGATACATGCATGCACTCCCCAGAGGAAGACAGGAAGAAGGAAATGGGGTAGGG